ATTGAAATTAAGAAAACGATACAAAAAATAAATGAAACAAAGAGCTGGTTTTTTGAAAGAATAAATAAAATTGACAAACCCTTAGCTAATCTTATCAAAAAAAGGAAAGAAAAGGCTCAGATCCATGCAATTAGGAATGAAAAAGGCGAAGTCACAACAGATCCGAAAGAAATCCAGAGGATCATGAACACCTACTTTGAGAACCTGTACTCTAATAAAATGGAAAACACAGAAGAAATGGACAGATTTCTAGATACTTATGAATTACCAAAGTTGAACGAAGAAGATAAAAACATTTTAAACACCCCAATCACAATCAGTGAAATTGAAAATGTAATTAAAAACTTACCAACAAAGAAAAGCCCAGGCCCTGATGGATTCACTGCTGAATTTTACAAGACATTTAGAGAAGAACTACTACCATTACTCTTCAAACTTTTCAATGAAATTGAAAGAGAAGCTATACTTCCAAATTCATTCCTGGAAGCAAGTATCACTCTGATTCCCAAACCAGAGAAAGATACAACCAAAAAGGAGAACTACAGACCAATCTCCTTAATGAATATAGATGCAAAAATCCTTAATAAGATACTAGCAAACAGAATACAGAGGATTATTAAGAAGATCATCCATCATGACCAAGTCGGATTTATTCCAGAGATGCAAGGGTGGTTCAACATACGAAAGTCAGTGAATGTAATACATTATATTAACAAAGTCAAGGACAAAAACCATATGATCCTCTCAATAGATGCAGAAAAAGCATTTGATAAAATTCAACACCCATTCATGATAAAAACCCTGCAAAAAATTGGAATAGATGGTCTATACCTCAATTTAATAAAGGCTATTTATGAAAAACCATCAGCCAACATCATATTGAATGGCCAAAAACTGAAAACCTTCATGTTAAAATCAGGAACAAGACAAGGATGCCCACTATCGCCACTTCTCTTCAATATAGTTCTGGAAACATTAGCCACAGCAATTAGACAAGAGAAAGAAATTAAAGCAATAAAGATAGGAAAGGAAGAAGTTAAACTATCATTATTTGCTGATGATATGATACTCTACATTGAAGATCCAAAAAACTCCACCAAAAAACTTCTAGACTTAATTGACAGATTCAGTAAAGTATCTGGATACAAGGTGAATACCCAAAAATCAATAGCCTTTCTATACACAAATAACAGACAGACAGAAAGAGAAATAAGGGAAAAAATTCCTTTTACAATAGCATCCAAAAAAATGAAGTATCTAGGAATCAATCTAACAAAAGAAACAAAAGATCTCTACACTGAAAACTACAGCACTCTGAAAAAAGAAAATGAAGAGGATATAAAAAAATGGAAATATATCCCCTGCTCCTGGGTAGGAAGAATCAACATAGTGAAAATGGCCATACTACC